GTACTATGGTCCCTATGTTTTATTACACATATCTGGAAGTCATGTTGCTGTGAAGAATACGTGGAGGGGGCTGGAGATGAAGTTTCAAGCGAACCATGGTGCATGGTCTTAATGGAAAGGCACACTGGTGGTGGAAGAAGTACACAGTTTGGTAATTTTTTGTCACTTTTTTATTATGTGAGTTATATTCTGAGAGAAGGTTCTCAGTTTATAAGGCGTGCCCCTGAGGACGTAAGTGTGCACGAAACTTGTTGGGTTGAGCCTACGTGTTGATGTCATGCCGCCATGTCCATGAATCGGAGCAGTGGCCATTTTGCTATGTGTGACCGCGATTGTTAACTTTCTTCCATGCGGAATATTTATTTTATATGCAATGTTTCTATGAGTATTATTAAATTACTACACTATATACAAATTTTGGGGCTTCGTGTGGTGAGCATCTTTTTCCAAGGTCCATGCCGGGTCTGTAACAGCGCTGGAGAGTGGATAATCAAGCTCTATTACTGAGGAGTTACATGCTACTGACCAAGTAGCTTTCTGGTGAGCGCATGGTGGTGGAGGACCCTGCACTGGGAACACAGTGCGTCTTGGTTGGCACTGCAAGCATACAGATTCACACTCGAAGGACTGAATATATATATATTCAGTCCTTCCAGTGTGAATTTGTATGCTTGCAGTGTCAACCAAGACTAATATAAATATATATATATATATATACACACATACACACATACACACATATACACGACCCTAGTACTGCCAGGCGGAAGTGCTAACCATTTAGCCACCGTGCTGCATATATATATATATATATATATATATATATATATATATATATATATATATGCGCAGCACAGTGGCTAAATGGTTAACTTCCGCCTGGCAGTGTTAGGGTCGTTGGTTCGAATCCCAGCCACGGCACCACCTGCCTGGAGTTTGCATATTCTCCCTGTGCCTGCGTGGGTTTCCTCCGGGTACTCCAGTTTCCTCCCACACTCCAAAGACATGCTGGTAGGTTAACTGGATCTAAAATAAAATTGTCCCTAGTATGTGTATGTATGAATGTGAGTTAGGGACCTTAGATTGTATACTGATGTGAATGTACAATAAATATGTGTAAAGCGCTGCGTAAAGTGACAGCGCTATAGAAGTACCTGAAATAAATATATATATATGCACGTGTGTATGTATTTCACATTTCACTTATTGATCTGGAATATGAGTTTGGTACATATCTGGATAGACACTTTATGCACTGCACGGTTTTGTGATTTATACTGCACTATATGAATGTTTTCTGTTTTGGGGAGTTAAAACCGGAAGGAAGAGCCCACACTGGAAGGGACCTTGGAGGATAGACATATGTATATTGTCACAAGAAGTCCCCTTATTGAGGGTACTTTGGGAGTACGCACAGAATACCAAAATGGCGACAAAGAAGAAAATATAAGTTGATATACAAGGCTCGGTTTTAGGATAGCCCAGTTCCCCAGTTGGTAAAACCATTTTCCTATATGAATTACAGCACTTTATTCATTGGTTTAGAGTTCTGCTTTCTGTATATATATCAAGTGTTTAAAAAAAAAAAAAAAAATCCCCAAAAAAAAAAAAAAAAACCCATAACGGAGCTGACAAGTCTGGTGCATAAACACTGTAGAAACTCCCGACACTGAAATAACCCATGTGCCCAGTGATCAGTACAATAGGGCCGCACTTACAGGGGCTTGTGGGGGAAAGTGAAAGCATCTCAATTTTAAAGAACCTAAAGTTCAGGAGTTTTGTTTGGTGGCTGAGAACTCTCATAAAAAGGCAAAAATAAAATAAGTACGTTGATCACATCGATGCCATCTGTTTTTCTTTCATTCCAAAAGGTTTTTTTTTTTTTTTTTTTTTTAGAAGTATACATACTTGGGTTATTTCACTGCAGAAAAGAGTGCTGATGAATATTTTTTTATACAATGTGTATGTTGTATATTTTTTAGATAAAAAAAAAAAAAAAAGTAATCCTTGCATAGCGGTTTTGTAGAACATAAAGGGGATATTGATCAAAAAAATGCTTCAATACAAAGAAACTGGCAAAACAGACAATACGTGAAAAAAAATAATTAAAAAAAAAATTATAAAAAGTGTCGAAATAAATATGTGTAGCAAAATAAAAGTCTCAATCCAAGAAAATAAGAGATGTTCAAAACCAATCTGCTCCAAACTCAGCAAAACGGTGTTGTATAAAGAAACTTCAATGTGTTCACACCATCCGCGACATGCAACATATACCGCACTCACCAAATGTATTGGACTCTATTGGATTGAGTCAAACATGCTTTGTGGATATTAAAAATCCTCCACAATGGGGATTTTCACTGCTCAGAAAAAACTCCAAAAAGGATCTCCCATAAAAAAAAGGTGAGGTGAAAAGAAAAGAAAAAACTAATAGTGTAATACTGGCAATAACTTTAATCATTAAAAGCCAAATGCATCATATGCAGTCACATGTTTAACATGAATAAAACGCTTTACGATAACTTTCCATATCAGAAAAAACGGCATCTGCCAATGAAGGTTCCCATAGCCTGTAAACTGGCAGCAATACTCGGATCAGACAAGGCAAGATGGCTCTGGAGCGTCACATCCAGCATGCGCTCCACTCACCGGATATGACGTCACGGCGTAGCGTAGGAAACCAGAAGTTACATCAACGCGTTTCGTCCCTCCTCCAGGGCGTTATCAAAGACACTGAACTCCGGTTCCTACTTCCTAAAATACTTCACTACCAATCCACCCACTGAACATGATTGGTTGATCGGTTCGCCATTTACTAGGTAATTTACTCCGCTGCCAATTTAACTCTTCACCGGATCCTTCACATCTAACTATGAAATACAATAATATTTAAAAACAAGCAAGAAGATATAACATTACAATCAGACGAGGGGGGATATATGATACCATTTTATATATATTCTCCTGAATGTCCATCATATCTGCACTTAGAGAAGCCATCCACAAGATAGAAAAACACTACAGACAAGTGATCCTCCACCTAACACCAATAGACGGGGCTTTATTCTAAAGCTGGCCATAGATAGATCAAGGTTTTTTTTTTTTCATTCAGTCCAAAGAAAGAATAGGATTCCTCTATTCACACAATCAAGGTGGATGGAGGAATCTTCCCCCCCTGCAACATTGTATTGTGACAGCGGGGGTACTCTGCTGTCAGCATACACTGATCAGTCACTGCCAGGGGCGGACTGACCATTTGGAAACTCGGGCACTGCCCGATGGCCCGGGGTCAGTAGGGGGCCCCATGAGATGCCCCTGGTACCTTTTTCATAGGCTTTTTTGAGTTTGGGCAAGGACACAGGGGTCCCATGATCCCCTATTGCCCAGGGGCCCCATGAGTTGTCAGTCCGCCCCTGGTCACTGCAGTCCATAATTTTCCAACAAGTCCCTTCTACAGAAGTCGATCGTTAGATCAACTTCTGTTCAGTGGGAGGGGCCACACATGGATCCAATTTCAATCCATCAATGCTTAAATTCTTTGCTGCAGCAGACCTATACCCCTTCAAGAAGATCTACCATTTCGAGAACCGATCATATTGTCACATTTAATAGGAATGTACAAAGGTGTTTTTTTTTTTTCCATTGTCTTTATTCATGGGCATCACTTAAACAAACATTTAAAAAATGGTAATAAATTCCAAATTAAAAAAAAAAAAATGCTGACATGCAGGTATTTTATGACAGAAGAAACCCTAAAAAGGTCCCTTCTGTCATAAGTGCTTATCAGCGGTAATGTACACTGAGCCGCACATGCGCAGCTCAGAGTACAACCTCAATTCCAAAAAAGTAAAATCTACATAAAAACATTTTGGTTACACTAAATACCTAAGGCTGGCATTTAGTCAGGCCGAACGGAGACTTCTGCAGCTGTTACACATACCACTTCCCCTGAAGTTAGGGGAAACGCTGTATGCTGCCTGTGTTTTAATGAGCTCTATGTAATTATCAAGATCTGTTTATCACCCATTGTACATACAGTGCAAATTGTCAAATTTTCATTCTGATGCCTTCGGAGTGTATTACATTGCAACTTGGTTTGCGCACTGTTTATGCCTGTACCCTGATGTGTTATATGCAATAAAACTTTTAAACAAGAAAAAACTACATATGCAATGACAGAATGCAAATCTCATAAACCCATTTTTTTTTTAAATTGATGGCAGCAACACGTCTCAAAAGAGTTGTGACAGGGCAATGAAAAGCTGGAAAAGTAAGTGGTTATAACAAGAGCTGGAAGAACATTTTTTCAACTAGGTAGGTTAATTGGCAACTGGTCAGTAACATGATTGGATATTAAAAAAAGAGCTTCTTAGAGAGTCTGAGTGTCTCAGAAATAAACATGGGATGAGGTTCACCATGAAAAGTTGCATCTAAAAATTGTTGATGAATTTCAGAATATAATTTAAAGGTTTCAGAATAATTTAAGGGTCCTTTATAAAAGGATTGTATACATATCGAAAGATTGGGGCAGCACAGTGGCTAAAGTGTTAGCACGTCTGCCAGCAGCACTAGGGTCATTGGTTTGAATCCCAACCATGACACCACCCTTTCTGGAGTTTGCATGTTCTCCCTGTGCTTGCGTGGGTTTCCTCCCACACTCCAAAGACATGTTGGAAGGTTACTTTGTCCTAGTATGTGTATGTATGTGAGTTAGGAACCTTAGATTGTACGCCCCTTGAGGGCAGGGACTGATGTGAATGTCAGGGCTTAAAATTTCAAGTCCTGAGCTACTAGCCAGGCCTTAAGAGTTACTTGCCACCAACAAACACACACAAACAGAGACACCTGTACACACACAAAAGACATGCACATACACACACACAGAAACATGTACACACATGCACAGAGACACATGTACACACACACACACACACACACACACACACAGACAGACATGTATACACACACAGGCACGTAAAGACACACATACACACAGATGCATGTACATACACAGAAATACACACGCACAGACACATAGACACATGTACATACATACACAGACACATGTACACACAAACACATGTACGTACATGCACATACACACAGACACATGTACACACACACACACACACACACACACACACATGTACGTACATGCACATACACACAGACACATGTACACACACACACACACATGTACATACACACACATGTACATACACACAGACACATGTACATACAGACACACACACAAACACACACACATGTACACGTACACACAAAAACACACACATGTACACATACACCCCCCATAAAAAGTTGCAGTACTTCGTTGTTCACTCACAGAGCTGGGTACTGCACTCTAGGGGGAGGCAGAGAGCAGAGCACACACTCCTTCCTTTGCTTTCACTGCGCTCAGCTATTGAGCAGTCTGACGGCTCCCAGTGCCAATGACAGATCCGGCCTGAGCTCTGAGCCTGCTCAGCAAGACAGCCCTGGAGGACACACTCGCCCCCCACCATAATTTCCACTCACCATTGGTGAGCAGGCGAGTGGAAATTTCAAGCCCTGGTATAATTTATATGTAAACTGGCAGCGCTTTATAAGTATCCCTAATAATATTATAGTAAAAGAGCATATCTAAACCCAAGAACAAACATGCATTCTTAGATGTGATGTTTGCATTGGTTTTTTTCTTTGTCAAAAAGTTTTATTGAAACGCTGAGTAGTATAAACAGCTGATCTCCCTCAGGGGGGTGTTGTACAATAAACCACCAATAAGGAGTGTAACAGGCGATGATCAAATATTTAAAGAACATTATTAGCAACATAATGCCGCCTAGAGACCAAGGCTCAATCGCAGCTTCCATGGTTCAGGAGCAATGCCCGAGTGATCAAACAGTAGGTACTAGCAGTAAAACAATGGTGTTTCATTTAACCTGAGAAAGAGGTAGAGGGAAAACCAGGAGAGAGAGAAAAAAGAAGAGAAATATAGAATCCGAAGTCAAGGAGGAAAAAAGAGATAGAGTTTTTTTCTCCCGCAGGCTCGAGAGGCCGCAGCATTGGTTTTTTCAAGCATCTGCAGTAACACATTTCCTGTCTTAGGGCGACAATGCTCACTGTACTGTATCTCTGTCAGCCCTGGCAGAAAGCCCAGGAAGTTATCAACAAGCAAGATTTCTGGCAGGATCAACATTTTTTTCGCACTTATGGAATAGATATAAAACACTTTCAATGTTATATAACTGACCAAAAAGAAAAAAAAAAATCTGAAGTTTATAGTTATGGTATATATACATTGTAATGCAGACCTTCCCCCTAAACTAAAGATCCCCGTCCAAAATTGGATATACGTTTAAAAGATTAAATATTTCTCACCTAAGTGAAAATTACATTTGTGTGTCCCCCCCCCCCCCCGTGTGTGTGTAGATGTGCCAAAGAGCTATCAGTCTTGACTAAGTCCTGTGGCACATCTGTGCACGCACATGCTTTCCTGCACATCTGCACACGTGCGGCTCCCCCCCCCCCCACACATGCACAAAGGTGCCTATTACAGACACCCCAATACTTTGCTGTCTTTGAAACCTTCTGTGTGTGAACAGATGTGCCAAAGGATTTAGCAGGACCCAAAGGCCAGGCAGAAACCTTGGGCACATATGTGAACGCACCATAATGGTATTGCCAGAGGCAGGGCTGTGGATAAGGATGTACCACCGGTCCTCCGTACGGGGCCCAGGGTGGATAGGATGTGGGCAGGGAGGGTGACCGGCACAGCGCGCGTGGGGGGGGGGGGGGCAATTAATTAATCACACTGATCCCCTGTATGACTCTCTGCAGCAGCAGAAACCTGACTTCTCTTCTCCCTCCTGCCAGCTTTTAGCTGCTGCAAAGAGAGCCATACAGGGGATCGGTTCCAGTAATTACCCCCCCTGCTATGCCGATCACCCTCCCTGCCCACATCGGATTCTCCCAGCTGTCTGGGCCCCCCTGCTGGACCCTGCCTGTGCACCATACATTTCCCTCTACTGCCAGGCCCCCTTGTGTACCCTCCCTTACCCCCCTGTAGTGCTGCCGGCTTTCTCCTCTCCTTCCCACCGGCAGCTGCAAGCACGCAATAGGATCCTTCAGCATGGACAGTGGGGGAGGGTCCATTAAATATGTTACAAATTACCAGCCCCTTCCTTTCATGAATGAGCACAATTAGTGATCGGTACCAATCATGTGCTGTGTTCATTCATAAGTGAAGCATAGTGTTTATTTGAGGGGGGCCCTGTAAGGTTGGCTATATGGGGCCCTGTGGTTTCTAACAGCAGCCCTGGCCGGAGGGGGAGCAGAGCCACACAAAAAGGGACTTCAATATCTTCCTCTTTAATAATAGAAGTTTTCATAGTGCAGGAACTACAGAGAATATTTTAACTTCCCTCAGTGGACTCTGTACTGCCTGTTCTACTTCAAGATTTATTTGTGGACAGAAAATAAGGAAACAACGTAAAATACACACTAAAATTGTCTTCTCTTCTCCTGATCCCACAGGCACTGACCCACGCGTCCTTTATAGTAAATATGGCACTGAATATATAGTGCTATGCTAGCAACTTTCTAAAAGGCAAAGAATAACAGGTCTACTTCATATCTCTATAGAAACTGCAGCATATCACCACAGGAAATATCCCATTCCAGACAGACTTCTCTGGAAAGAGATGTCCACACAGCAGGGGTGACGTCTGTTTGTCCCCATGAGGTGCACCATCAACGCCCAGGCCTCCTCCCTCCCTCTAATTTGGACAGTATTGACGTAAGGTGTGGAGGCCAGGGAAACCTTTCATGGTAAAGTCAGGATGGGGAGCAGCAAGGCAACGGATACCGAAGATCAAAATCCTCCATAGGGACACACAGGAGCAAACAATGAGCTGTGTCAGCAGGGTGTTGTATGTCTAAGATGGACCAAAATACTGAGCAATGTTCAGAGCAACTACAACAGCACGAAGCTTGAATGAATGGACTATCTTTAGTGTGGAAGGCTTTCTATACACTCTGTAGGACTAAAGCTAGATATTGGATGCTGGTTTGACATCTACAACCAAACCAAACCTCCAAGTGACTGGTTTCTTAAAGTGACCATCTCCATCCCAAAAAAATTAAATTCAATATTATTTGTATACAGGATTTATACAGCACTAAGTGTTCGTGCCTCACTTGACAAAATTCGGGGCAACATAGCTACAATACAAAGACAGGAGAACCTTTCTGTGAGCTGATGGAGAAAGTAACATTTCAGTTGTTAAGTACAGGCCTCCTTAAAAGATGAGTTTTCAGGAATCTCCTCAAGGCAGAAAGCATAGGAGATAGCCAGACAGATTGGGGTAGGGAGTTCCAGAAAATGGGAGAGACTCCTGAAAAGTCCTGGAAGTGCACATGGGAGGAGGTGATAAAGGGAGCTAAAGAGCAGGAGGACGGGTGATATTTTGAAACAATATATACATAAGAGTGCAGCGCTTAAAAAAGTGACAGATAACTATAAGAAAACAGTGAAAAAATGTGTCAAAAAAATAGTCCATCCAAAAATAAAGAAAAGTCCCAGAGGCTGTGATTAAACAAAGGAAATTTAAGGACAGTTGTTGTCTCGCCAACCATTCAAAAGGCTTACCAGAAAAGCATAACCCCCTGTTAAGAGTGGTCAATCGAGCTTTGTTAAACAACCCAGAAAACCGGTCACTGGAATCCTCTTCCAGATCACCAAAACAGCAGATAAAGATCTTCCAAACAATGGACCTTACTTATGGTAGCTAAAGCCCTCAGGATAAGACCCAGACTCAGTAGGAAACATATAAAGAAAGAGTGCTCCACATAGTTTCACCTCCCTAGCGGTCTGATTATGTCCATATTTCTGTGCTCAAAGCGGTAAATTTTTTTTTTGCATGGAAATATGTTATTTTTTTATTGTAGGCCTGTAATTTTTAGGAATAACTCACTGAAATCTGTCCGAACAAGAGTCTAGTAAACATCCCGGGTATGATAACATTTGAAACACGAAATCATAAATTAATATATAATAAATAATCATAAAAAATAATAAAATAATTAATTTATTTCAATAATATAATCAAACCAAAAACACTGAAATTTGAAATATAGCGCCAAGTTCGCACATCACTGAGCAAAGTCGCAAAATCGTTTTCAGTGTCTGATGACGAATTTCCCCCACGAATCATTATCACTCAATTCTGCAAGTGGTTCTAATTTACTATCGCTGTTCTCTAGCCGGTCTAAAACCGCTTTTGACCTAAAGGGACGCTTTTTGGACGCCATGGACGTTTCTCAGTTTCCAGGCAGAAAGAACAGTAAAAATGCAGGCAGGGCGCCGGACAAAGCACTCGGGACAAAATGTATGTGAAATGGTTTGATACAGTAATGTTATACTATGTGATTTTAGTGTATTTAGTGAATGTCACTTTTTCACATTTTCAAATTTCCCGCCAGTTCTGTCCCCGTACGTCCCGATGCTCTCAGGGACCGGAAGACGGATGCCGGCATCAGCTGGAGGAGATGGCCGGGGACACTGCAGGGGGGACATCGCGGGAGCGCAGGACAAGGTAAGTGAGGAAGAGAGCAACGCTGCAGGGTATTCTCGAGTGTAGCTCGGGGTTACCGCTTTTGGTACTGAAAGTTAACCCCGAGCTACATTCAGGAATACCGCCAGGGAGGTTAAAACCATTAGAACAACATTTATTTAAAGTACAATTGCACTGACAGCTAACATCATTAGGCATTAATAGGAAAAAAAAATCCAATTTTCCAGTTTCCAAAATGGCTGTAGCGTGTGTACGTGGCTCCGCCCATATTTTGAGACAAGTGATGTAGCTCAGGGAAGAGTTATGCATGGCTTTATATGTTAGTATTTTATATTGTATTTGTTGGGCGATCAGACGCCCATGCTTCCTGCCCCAGCCCCCCGTTTTCAGCCTTGCATGCAACTAAGAACAGGTCACTTATTAAAAAAATTAAAATGAGATTATATATATATATATATATATACATACACACACACACACACGCACACACATATATATACATACATACATACACACATTGGCCGCTTTATTAGGTACACCAGTTCAGTTGCTTGGTTACGGAAATTGATAATCAGATGGCAGCAACTCAAAAAATGCTTGCCTTGCATTTCCATTTTAACCTGAATGCATTGTTTTACCAGGTTAGGGTTCACATACTTTAAATGCAATTTGCAGTTCCTTGAAGTGGAACTAAACCTACCTATACTTTACAGTCAAGGAAGCTGCCATCTTAGCCTCTGTTTGATCTGCAGTTGCTATGCAGCTGCACATGTGATCAGCTAGGACTCTGCCATTGGATGGCTTGACAATTCAGTTGAGATCTGACATAAACACACTAGTAATTGTAGCGATCATCATACACAACATGCCTGGACTGTAAGGGCTCATGTACACGGGGCGTTTGGAAAACTCTTCTGAACGATGGAAACTGAGTGCTGAAAAGTGTAGGTTAAAAAATGTCAGTTTAGCCACGTTTGCATACTGCGTTTATGTGCGTTTAGAAGCGTTTTTAAAAG